GGGGTGGGAACCGGGTGGAGGGGAGCTATGGGGGGGAAAAAGAGGAACAACTGTAATAATCTGAACAATTAAGATTAATTTAAAAAGAAAAAAGTAGTAACAATGAAACTTGTGGAGGTTAGAGGAGAATTTAAATACACACCCAAATATTTACTGAGTTTTCTGCATCATGCTTATTTGATTAGAAGAATAAAATACACATAATAAAATTCTGCATTTGTACTGAAGAATGGTACATGAAATAACCATAGACAAATTAATAACCCTTTTAATTTGGGTTGTTCCTGCAGATGCTGTCAAAAACACCATCTAAATGAAGGTCTATAAAATTTCTTCAGACCTAACGCTAGACAACCAAGAAAATGGTATTCATAACCAATGTAAGGCATTTAATTAACTTGGTTTGCTTTTCAGCTGCTGGTATTGTATTTACTCTGTTTTCCTTGCATTTCACTCATCTATACTTTCCTGTTTCATATTCTGAATCCTTATAAACTTCCTCAAATGTACTAAAAAAACAAAACTGGGAATAAACAACTCACCTGGGATTTGTTCATTTTCTGTAGCTTTTAGGTAAAGGCACAGATATGAAGGCAGACCTGGAATAAAGCAAAAAGGAAGGTATTGTTATTAAAGATATGAACTGCTTCAGAACTCCAAGAAATCCCTGCATGTCACCTGGGAAAACACCACCTCCTGGGATAGTCACTTTGCCTCTTCAAAAGGGGCAGAAAGGCCCGGCTGGTGTGGTTCAGTGGTTGCACATCCACTTATGAACCAGGAAGTCACAGTTAGATTCCAGTCAGGGCACATGCCCAGGTTGAGGGAGGCAGCCGATTAATGATTCTCTCTCAACATTGATGTGTGTTTCTCTCTCTCTCTCTCTCTCTCCCCCCTCCTTCCACTCTGAAATCAATACAAATATATATATTTAAAAACACCAAAAAGGGGCAGAAAGGATCATAGTGGCAGCATTCACCTCCAATCACACATTATGACACACCTGAAAAGGCATGAGTAAAAACACCCACTATCAAGAGAAAAAGTAATCAACAGAAACCTCAACTAATAAAAATAGACAGGGAATTTAAAACAAATATAACTCATATATTTATGAGTTATATTACATATGTGTAATATAAAGGCTTTAATAGGAAAGGTTATCCACAACATGAAAAAACAGAGAATTTCAGGAGAGACGGAAACTGCAAGAAAGGAATCAGATGAAATGCTAAGGAAGAAAAATAGTAACCAAGTTGAAAGAATACCTTCAACAGGCTCATTATTAAACAGGAAATCTTAAGGTAAGTTTAAAAAATTACCCAAACTGAAATAAAAAGAGAAAATGGAAGAAAAAAATAAAAGGACATAGTATCCAAGGACTGCGGCACAATATTCAATGACCTAACAAACATGTCATTGGAATCCCAAACGGAGGGGGAAAAAATGGGACAGAAATATTTAAAGACATTAATTGCCAAGAATTTTCCAAAAATAATGAATATCAAATCACAGATCCAAGAAGCTCAGACAATTTATCCAAACAGGCTACCCCCAAAAAATACACACACACATACACACACACACACACAAAACAAAGACACACGAGGACACATCATAGTCAGACCACTGAAAACCAAAGTCAAAGAGGAAGTCTTGAAAGTAGCCAGACGAAAAATAGGCATACTGTATACAGAGGAAGAAATAATCACAGCCATTTTCCTCAGAAAATATACAAGTCAGAAGACAATGTACTGACATCTTTAAAGTGCTTTAAAAGAAAACAAAAAACACCTATCAACCAGATTTCTATACCCAGCAAATATATCTTTCAAAATAAAAAAGAGATAAAATCCTTTTTAAATAAGCAAAAACAGAATTCATTACAATAGACCTGTACTATAAGAAATATTTTAGGCGGGTAGGAGAGGCCAGGGGATTGTCAAGGGCGGGGAAAAAAAAAGGACACATATGTAATACCCTTTGTAATACTTTAGCAATAAAAAAAATTTTTAAAAAAAATTTTATTTAAACAAATTCTTCAGATAGAAGGAATATGATACCAGACAGAAACCTGGATCTACACAAAGAAATAAAGATCTCCCCGATGGTTAAAAATAAAGATAGCCCTAACCAGTTTGGCTCAGTGGATAGAGCATCGGCCTGCGGACTGAAGGGTCCCAGGTTCGATTCCGGTCAGGGGCATATGTACCTTGGTTGTGGGCACATCCCCAGTAGAGGGTGTGCAGGAGGCAGCTGATCGATGTTTCTCTCTCATCGATGTTTCTAACTCTCTATCCCTCTCCCTTCCTCTCTGTAAAAAATCAATAAAATATATTTTTAAAATAAATAAATAAAGATAAATAATAGCACAAAGAGTGAGGTAATGAAATTGCGAGTGTACTATTTTAAGGATCTTACATTACACAGCATATTATTATTTAAAGGTGCACTGTGATTACCACAGAAAAAATTTTTAAAGCGGTATAAATGATAAGCAGATGGTGAGAAAAAAAATGAAATCATAAAAAGTACTCACAAAGTCCAAAAGCAGTCAGAAAAAGAGGAAAATAGGAGCAAAGACCAGATGGGACAAGTAGAAAAAAACTAGCACGATGGTTGATTTTAATCCAGCCACATACATCAACAACTGGTATAAACACACCAATTAAATGACAAAGGTTATCAATAAAAAAAGCAATGCCAAATTATGTGCTGTATATAAGCAGACTGTTTTAAATATAAAAACATAACTAGGTCAAAAGTAAAAGGATGAAAAAAGATATACCTTGCAGACCCAAAGAAAAAAAGCTATAACGATTATATAAATACCAGACAGAATAAATTTCAGATGTATTATGAGGGATAAAGAGTGATAGTTCATAATAATAAATGTGTCAAATCACCATTAAGACAGAATAATCCTAAATGTATATGTATCTAACAGAAGAACTTCAAAACACAAGAAACATGATTTAAAAAAGGAAAGATTGATAAATCCATAATTATAGTTGGAGATGTCAATACTTTTTTCTCAGTGACAGAACAGATAGAAAACCACTAAGGATACAGAAGAACTGAACCACAGTATCAACTACCCTAACCCATTTAGTATTTCTAGAATACTCCACTGACAGTACAATAATCATTAAAGTACATATGAAACAGTCACCAAAATAAACCATATTCTTAACCATAAAACAAACCTCAAAGTTTTTAAAAATTAATTTACTGATTGATTTTTAGGGGGTGGAGGGGAGAGGAAGGATAGGGAAAAGAGAGAGAGAGAGAGATCAATTTGTTGTTCCATTTATTTATGCATTCATTGCTCTTGTATGAGCCCTGACTGGAAATCAAACCCCAAATCTTGGCATATATGAGGACGATGCTCTAACCAACTGAACTATCCAGCTAGGGCCAACCTTAACAAGTTTTAAAGAATTGAAATTTGACTTAACCAGTGTGGCTCAGTGGATAGAGCGTCGGCCTGCGGACTCAAAGGTCCCGGGTTCGATTTCGATCAAGGGCATGTACCTTGGTTGCAGGCACATCCCTAGTAGGGGGTGTGCAGGAGGCAGCTGATCAATGTTTCTCTCTCATTGATGTTTCTAGCTATCCTTCTTCCTTCCTCTCTGTAAAAAAATCAATAAAATATTTTTTTAAAAAAAGAATTGATTAAAAAAAAAGAATGAAATTTGAGAGTATATTCTTTAAAAAACAGAATTAAAGTAGAAATCATTAATAGAAAGAGATCTGGAAAATCCCCAAATACTTGGAAATTAAACAACAGACTTCTAAATAACCAATGGATGAAAAAGAAAATCACAAGGGATGTTTAAAAAAATACACAGAATTTAATAGAAATGAAAACAGAATATATAAAAATTTTGAGAGATGTAGCTACAGCAGTATTTAGAGGGACAGTTATAGCATTAAACTATTTCTATAAGAAAAAAGGTTTCAGTGATCTCAGCTTCCACCTTAAGAAAAAAGAAAAGGAAAAAAAAGGTAAACTTAACCCAAAGCAAGCATAAGGAAGGAAATAATAAAGGTAAGAGCAGAAATCAATGACACTGAAAACAGAAAAATAGGGAAATTCAATGAAACCAAAAGCTGGTTATTTAAAAATATCACATCACTGCCCAAGCCAATTTGGCTCAGTGGATAGAGTGTCGGCCTGAGGACTGAAGGGTCCCATGTTCAATTCAGGTCAAGGGCACATGCCTGGGTTGCGGCTGGATCCCCAGTGGGGCGAGTGCAGAAGGTAGCCAATCAGTGATTCTCTCTCATCATTGATGTTTCTCTCTCTCACTCCCTCTCCCTTCCTCTCTGAAATCAATAAAAATATATTTAAAGAAATACTTTTTAACTAAAAGGAGTTTCTAAAAGGTAGTCATGTTCTTTAGGCTAGAATCTTCCCTGACAAAAGTCAATCTTTACCTTAATTAAACCTGTCTATTGTCTTTTTGCATCTTCCATAACATACCTTTGGAATGTCCGGGTAAACTCCCTTTTTTCTTTTTTAAAAATATATTTTTTTATTGATTTCAGAGAGGAAGGGAGAGGGGAGAGAGAGATAGAAATATCAATGATGAGAGAGAATCATTGATTGGCTGCCTCCTGCACACCCCCTACTGGGGATCCAGCCAGCAACCCGGGCAAATCGAACCTGGGACCCCTCAGTCTGCAGGCTGATGCTCTATCCGCTGAGCCAAACCAGCTAGGGCTTTTTTTTTTTTTTATACCTCCCTTTTTCCAGACTCGTTAGGGCACAACCAATGCACCAAGGCAGAGACCAAAAATCCTCTCATTGTTATTGTTATGTTAATTTTGACTGTTTACTATCCTATACCCATTTATGTAAAAGATGTGTTTATCATTTTACTTTTTATCCAATCCCAGTATAAAATAAGATGCAAAACTGCCATTCTCTGGAGCATTTTCTCAGTCTGTTGAGATTTTGCTTCCTGGCAATTATCGACAGCTTGGCTCAAATAAACTCACAAAAATTCTCTACAGGTTTGAACGTTTCTTACGTGGATAAAACAGATAACCACACTAATGAAGGGAAAAAAGGGACAAATCTCAAATACACAAACTTAAAAAATGGGAAATAGCAAATACACGAGAAAAAAGATAAATGGAAAAATTCCATTTTCAATAGCATTGAAATACTACGTAAGAGTAAAGTTAAGAAAAACGCAATTATTTTCTAAAAACTTTAAAATACTGCTGGGGGTGGGGGTTAAAAATAAAAGAGAACTTGAACAAATGGGTCTACACTAGTGTACATTCCCTCTAATTTAATGTAACCATTACCGGGATCCCAATAAAAGTATCAGCAATTTGGAAAAAAAAAAACAACCACCACAGGATTCTAAAGTCCCACTGGGAATCATCAGAAAACTTGTATAATCCCAAAGTAGTGAAGGCTTTGGGTGCCATAAAAGGCAAGAGCAGTAAACTCAACTGGAGAGAAACTCAAAACGCCTGCATAGCAAAACCTACCAGGGAGCAGAGTCAAAGGCAAATGCAGCGACTCGCCCCTCAGATCACCTAGGACCAGCTGCCGCGCGACCTGCGCAAGTCCCTTGCCCTCTGAGCGGCCCTTCTCCCTTCGGCTGAGCCTGGGACGCCAGCCAAGTCCCGGGTAGGGGCGCGGGTCAGGTGAACACTCAGCCGGAAAGGCTCCTGCAAAGGGGTCGAGGCTCTCCTGGCGCGGCTCGTGCGCTCCGGCGCACTGGCCGGAGCTTTCAATCCTCCCACCAGCCCGCGAGGCCGACGCACGCAGCACGTGGCACGTGAGAAGGCTCCTGAGGGGTCGAGGCTCTCCTGGCGCGGCTCGTGCGCTCCGGCGCACTGGCCGGAGCTTTCAATCCTCCCACCAGCCCGCGAGGAGGACGCACGCAGCACGTGG